AGAATTGAAACCCACAAATATTTATGCATATTTCATAACCAATGATTTTCATATTCTGCATATCCCAACAGGCCTTTCTGTGAGTCCAGTTTGTGTACCAGTCATTTAAAGCTTTCACTTTAGCTCAGCAATGGTTGATTTCATAAATTCACTGGAATTATCAGTATGCATCCTGTATCATCTTAATGTAGATAACCAGTTACCCAAGATCCGAGGAAGTTTCTTCCTCAGATGGATCACTTCTTGTCTCCTTTGGTGCAATCTATATTGCAATCCTACTAAGTCTAATTGAGGACAGATTTGGAAAAGTAGTTGTCTTCATTGTCTATTTGATGGTATATCTACTATTTTTTTTCTGGATGATGTGCACTTATCTTGACATGCTTAAAGCCCAGGTAAGGTTGTTCCAAATCAGGTGCATATTAGCGTGTTAACATTTGAGCATTATTCATTGCCTTTATGTGCCATCCATGTTCATTTCCCCTGATTACCACTCATCACATACGGTCAGAAATAGTGGAAGGACATATTCTGGTTGGTCTCTACTCCTTGAATCTGAAATACGAGAAGGCTGCATCATTGTAAATTTGTTGTTTTACCAATCTTTTCTCATTGACAAACAGTTCATAGAAGATGCTATTTTTTAAAAATACATGTAATGTTGGCTTTTTCAATACACAAATAAAATCATTTTTCTTGGTGATAAACTCCTTCCTAACCCCTTCGGCTTCTGCAAAAGTCAAAGAAATTCTATGGTATTCTATATATCTCAACTTCTTCCAGCTTATTGACACCTAAGGCTGTTTATTTATTTATAAAATACAAATTACATTAAATGTCATTTTTATATCTGACTCCCTGAGGCTGTTTGTCAGTGTAGGGAGGTATGACCCTCCCTCAGACAGAAAAACAAAGAAAGAAGAAAAGAACTTTCATTGGTTGTTGTATAGTATTACTAGTACATCTTCAGGTGTGCAAAGCAAGACAAGACAAAGCAGCTCTTACAAAATATCACTGGTGCATTGTCTTTCTATTATTCCAAATGATGTGCAATACATGGTTAATGGTAGGAGAGGGACAGCAGTCTATTGTTACTTTAACTTGCATTCTTGTTCTAAGGCCCTGTATGAAAATCTAATGTCATCTGGATATCATAGCAGTCCTTACCATATAATTACATGGGACCAACATTACTTGATCAAAGTAAAAGAAAAAGCTCTTATTTTATTTATAAGCCATCTGCCACAAACCATTAGCATTTACTTAAGCCCTAAGTTACAGTTTCCATTTTAATAGTTCTATTAGTGTTTGGGTGGTTTCTATGAAGATTATTCAACAAACATTGTCCAGAAAAAGCTAGATACTTCTAATGCATAATCCTCTGGAATGTTTATTAAACAATAACACTGAACCTTCTGACAGTTTTATTTCTGAGAATGCTATAATGTTGTTATGCATCCCACCGGTAATTCTGCATTACCAAAAACTCCTGTGCAATGTAACGAGTCTTACTGAAAGCAGATGCAGCCGAATTAATAACAGGGACATCAATGCACTATACAAAGTCATATAGTGGAAGGGGTGGGATGGGGGGCAAAGAATGCAGAAGAGAATTCTGTGTCACTTTTGCAGCAAAAAGTAACTGAAATAAGGAGAAACAGTAATACAAGGATTTGAAAATCCAAATGTAAAAAGTAGATTCATCTGAAAAGAGTATTTCATCATGCATTATATATTTACTGTTTAATGCAGAGTCTCTGGACAAATTGAATTTAACTTAATTATAGAATTAAGGGGTTCTAAAAAATTACTTAAACCCCTAAATGTTCTTGAATTTACTTCAGTGAATAGGTTTCTGCGTGGCACATTTTCTGTGAGGCCACCCTGCAAGGATCCTTTTATCACCTGTTAAATAGATGCTATTCCTGTTAACTAACCACAAAGAAAGCTCAGTCTAAGGTTCAGTACACTTAACACAAAGCCTCCAAAGAAGGGAAGGCTTCAGATAAAACTCAGTGCTTGGCCATAATGAACCTGGTAAATGTTGGTTTCCTGCAATAAAAATAATAGGTGAAATCTTGGCCTATTGAAGTCAATGGGAATTTTGCCATTGATTTGAGCAGGGCCGCTATTGCAACCAATGAATCTAGTGAACAAACTAAAAGAAGTGGGTGAAGGAAGGAAGGGGAATTAATGTAACAGAACCTATACATTATTTCAGTTATATTGTTCTACCCTCCTTTGCCTGAGTGAATAGCTCCTGATATTCCTGAGATGTGCTCACAGAAACTATTGTGGCAGTGTACTGAACACCAAATATTTACAAAAGCATTTAACGACTAATTCTGAAACAGGAAAATCAGCTTTGTTGTTATAATGAGTCAGTCTCAGATTCAACCAGAGGTTGTTTTAGGGGTGAGTAACCAAGGGCAATTGCCCAAGACTGGATACCATGGGGAGTGTGTCAGACTACAATAATTAAAAGTACAAGTTATCCAATATGCTTCAATCTATGCCTGTGTTCTTGCTAGTCAAAACCTGCTGTAGCTCCACACAGATACAGTTAGATCTCTTAAACACAATACTTTCTGTGAGTAAAATAAAAAGCAAAAAATTTAGTTAGAAGTATAAATGTCTTTCTGTCTTTTTATATTTATATCCCTATATGTGTTTCTTTTTATTGATGTGTGAAAATACCTAATTTCTGATTTCTGATGTGTAATAAGTGTAGCCACCATATTTTTGCACGGGTTTTCCCAGACATCCATTACACACACGCACCACATGGCCCATGTACAGCAAGGCAGTTTCATAAAGCTGTGGACTAACAAATCAAGCACTGTACAGCCACACCACAGACATGCTATGGTCCTATCTGGAAACAAAAAACACTGGATGTGAGGAAATGTATGTGTTAGTACCCCATCATAGGCTGTACCATTGTACTTGAGAGCCCTATGTTTCTTTACAGGAGGTGAAAGCTGTGGGAGAAATTTGAACTTCTTGTTCAGGTGTTCCAGTATCTGGACCAGAATATGGAGAAGCACAACCATCCAGGCTGTGGGGCTCTTTCATAGGGATTAGTTGTAACCAAGGGATAGTTTGGAAAAAAAAAAAACTGGTTAGAAAACAACAAGAAGCAAAGGATGGTTAAAAATACATTATCTGATGTGAAAGAGATATACAGGCAAAATATTTCTGAACATAAAAGCATGGTGTAGAAATGTGATGGATCTGTAAAATCTCCCTTGAACCAGCTTAATATCTGTTAACATTTATCTCACAGTAATAAACTTACACTGGGAGTGGAAAATGATTACATTGTTTTGCAATACATAGTTTTCCTTGGCTGTTAAATCTCATTTTAATACTTATCAGAGTATTCAACAATAAATTTTCCACACCACTTAAAACACTCTGCAGGTTTCTAACCCAGAGTGGTTACCTGGCAATTCAAGCAAATGTTTTTGATATCTGAAACTGTAGAACATCCACTTTGGTTTTGACCATCATGGGTATTAAGTGATTCTCCAAACTGGGGTAAACAAATAAACAAACAAACAAACAAACCACCAACAGTCTTATGCAGAAAATATTTTACATTGTGGCAGTGTTCTTTCTCTGTAAAAATGTTTTTAAAACTAGTAGGAGGTGCACATAAATGATCAAATTTGCAATAAATCTTTTGTGAACTCAGCTGATGGGGCTCATCAGAACATCTAACAGTAGTTACCCCTAAGCACAGGAATGCTTATAGATAAGATGAAAGCAGCCCTTCTTATTAATCACACTGTGTATCTGACTCTTGCTCCTTTCTTCAGTCTTTAAATCAACTCCATCTGGTTCTTACTATTTAGTTGTGCAGCTTACCTTTCACAATGAAACATGCTTACTGCTGCAGAAGCAGGTCCAATGTGATTAAAATTATTAGGTAAAACAGTGGTTGCTTAAGTCTGGAATCAGGAAACCATAAAAACCATGATCAGGCACAAAATGAAACTGAGGACCAAATCTTCACTGGGTGTAAATTGGCTAGACTCCAGCTGATTTCAGTGAAAGGTATTAAAAACAATGTTCTGGGCCACCTTTCTTTATGTTAATACTTTATGGAGCACATCAAGCAAGATGCTAGAACAATGCTTGTATAAGCAAGAAACAATCTCATCATATTGCAGACTAGTCCTGGGTTCATGATCTGTTGTGGCAGGGTGAGGACCTAGGTAGCTAGAAGGGAATGACCCTGCCTATGTTAACTAAAACAAACCAAAACAAAAAGTGACCCTCTCTCTGGGGTCCCGGTATATTTAGAGGGTCCTGATTCAGATTCTGTTCAACAGACTGCAAGTGCAAGCCAAACAATATCACAACAAAAGCAAAGTGGCAAAACAGCTTTCTATGTTTTTTGGTCAACAACTTCCTTCTTTTATTGGCATGACAGTGTCTCCATTCCTTTACAATTTTTTGGTCAGAGCTAAACTAAGCTGTGTTCACTGCTGAGTTTGTGAAACTCTTTGTGGTGACCTAACCCAGTAAAAAATCATATTGCTGAATGACTGTGAGATAGGAACAATCCGGGGGAGGTAGGATATCGTAGGATCTCTTCTAGGTAGGACTCACATGTACGTTATGATGTACAAGTAGGACCTGGCATTTTGCTGTGGAGAGCTTTGTTCTTTTAGGGGTTTGTTTTGGAGCTGCCATGACATCTCTACCCCAAATGCTTACTGCAACCTTGACACAGATGGAGGCAGGCAGGGCCTGCTCCAGCTCGTGCCAGCAGGCCATGATACTAGGAAAAACATTGGTTCTCTGTGACTGGACGGGGCTACCCAGACAGTCATGTCCCTACCCCAACAGTCACAGGGTCAGCTGAGACTTGGGCTCCCCCTGAAAACGTTGAAATTTCCCCTTTTGGCAAGAATGCCAGCTATGCATACTTATGTCACCAGAATGCCTAAACAGTTAAAAATACCACAGCTACAACCTTTTCTCTTTTACAGCTTGAGAACTACATTGTGGATAACATGAAATCGGAGATGGTGCAGCTGCAGCAGAATGCTGTGCAGAACCACACCGCCACCATGCTCGAGATAGGGACCAGCCTCCTCAGTCAGACAGCGGAGCAGACGAGAAAACTCACGGATGTTGAAACCCAGGTATGTTCCCTGAGTAGTTTTCTAAAAGCTGTTAATTGCAGAGAGCTTTTCCCATCCTCTTTCTTTTCTAATGCATCACCACAGAAAACATTTCAACACGGGGCTCCAAGAAACATACACGCTCTGTTTCTTGGTAACAACAGCGGTGATAACTGACCCTTGTCATGGGTCTTTCTTTTGATTTCATTTGGTTAGTATATTTAGCTCTGTGTGTGTAAGGCAGGCAGGACTGTCCAGGAAACTAAATCAGCATTTGACTTCAAGTAAACAGCCCAGCTACCAACTGTGAGTGATACAAGTGTCAAGCTAAATAATGAGTTTCAGGCTAAAATAATCTGATCTCCATTGTTTTTTGCTTCTTTACTACTACAAGAAAGTTTGTTTGTTTTCTGCAATATGTTTCCAGCTTTTTGAAAAGTAGTGTATGCCTGCAGTTTTTAAACTGTGAAGAGAGAGGGACAAACATCAGCTTTATAAAACACTGTGTACTTGTTATCACTGTAAAATTGTACAATATCACATGAATTTAAAGAGCCATCTCCATATGATTCCTAGCACTAAAATCACTGTTGTGATTGAAGTGACAAGAGTATCACTGTTGTAACACAGAGTACAATTTCATACTGGGCTTATTGCAAAGCCATGTAGTACTTTTTGCCTTGTGAATTCTTTTATCAGTTTAAGATGCTTATTTTTTTTCCTTATTTTTCCTGACTTCCTCTTGATCTTTGTAGCACGTGGTATATTACCAGCTGCACTGCATTCGCTGTTCATTTAGAACAGGGGAATTAAAGATTTGCCTTTATTTGGTTTGTTCTAGTAGCATATGTACTTCTTGAGAGATCGTATTTTCTGTTCTAATGTCCTTACTCACGTTTACAATATCATTCCCAAATTTTTACGTAATCACATTACAGTACACTGTCATACAAAAGTTCCCTGCACCTTTTTCTCTACATCTTGATTAATAGATCAACATTCACTTATAAATGTTGTGATCTCAAATGACCACAGTTTCTAAAACATAGTATATTGATTTATGAAAATGTTGGGGAAAATCTTTAATTCAGTATCAACAGAATATCTAAACGGAAACATAAGAGGTGAAGACCTATGGGTTGTAGTATCATATGTTCAATAAAGAAAAAGGAGGTGTCGGAACTCTTCTTATACATCCCAAAAGACCTACCAAGGTGTAAGTGTTGAGTAGTCATTCACGTTTTCCTCCTTTAAACAGGTAAGGGACAAAATGTGCATTGCCCTTGTCTCACTTTTCTTTTGAGGAAAGTGAGGAACCACTTCAATGTAGAGGTATCACTGGCAACTGCATGAAGGAATGGATTACTTCTTCCTTCTATACCTATTGCTGAAGAATTTAAGGGATGCCTAAGATATCACTGGGTGTGGCTCTTCCTTGTTGCAGTACTTGCTCTGACTTTCAACTCAGTGATGGCATTTCCCACCTCCCCTCTTTCAGCAGTATGAGAAAGTCCCTCGCTCTACCATCAATCAGAAAAGAGTAGTGCAGGTGGCTCAAGAAAGTGAAGAGAGACTGTTCTTGGCAGTGATGGATGTAGCCAGCTGCATGGCAGAGAGGTGAAAGTCTGTAGGATAGAAGGAGAAGAAAGGCAGGCCAGGATTTCATGCCTGTAATAAGAAGTACTCATACCAGATTAAGGAGGAGTCTGAAGGACTGAAGATAGAGCCTCTACTTCTTTAAAATGTCACTGACCCCTCCCAATCCCTGATTCATCCCAAATCCCACTGATTCCCTTTAGGCTTTCTTCTCTACCTGAAGCTCTACTGACATTTTGTAGGCTGCTCTATAGATGTATCCTCTCCGGAAATCTGTTGGTGCTTTCCTGTCTTCTTACCCCTTGCCAAACTTCGTAATACGCCTTCAATTTCTGCCAGGTCCCTCTGAAACTGTGGTGATGCCTCCTGGCACTTCCAAATATATCTGTCTTGAACAACATAACAGCTGCAAACTGATCATTTCCAATTTTTTCAACCTCTGTACACTTAAAAAAGGACAACTCAAGTTGCTCTGTGAATGTCAACAATTTAAAAAAAAATAAGGCACTGGATTGAGTTTGAAGCCATTGTTTTTGCTTTATGTTCTGTAACAAATTCCTATCAGGCATGCATGAAAAAATGTTACCATATAATCCTATGATAATACTGATAAATACTCTTCCAAGAAAGGTCTGATAGGTTCCATTAAAGAGGCATCATGTTCAGTTCCAGAAGTGATTGCATCTCAGGTGTTGTGTGCACACATACCTATAAAAACAACTTATACACACTCCTCCGGACTCTATGTAATGAACGACAATATACCAACAAAATCAGCTAATATTAATTAATATTGCTGCTTTCATTCTTGAAAGCATTCTATTATTTCCACTTTTGAACTATTTTTTGTTAGAATCTATCCTCTTTCATCTAGTTAAAAGGCTTCTTTTGGTGTGATGTGCTTAATAAAACTTGTGCTGTTGATACAGATCACCACTGAAGTGAAAGACAATTGCATAAAGCAATGTTTAGGATCACAGCCTTCATCTTAAAAATCTGTGTAAGAGTGCAAGTAGTGATAACATAAGCAGACACCAGACTTTGCCAACACTGCAAAAGAGAGAACTCAGGGGAAAGCTAAAGTAGGAATTCTGTTTACAAAACAGCGGATGTAACACTTTGGCTTCAATCCAAGTACTCTTGCACTCTTCTGGTTTAAGCATGCTTTATAGGAACACATGTTTGAGGCATGCCTCTTGTTCTTTCCATTAAAATAAAGCTTATTTGGCAGTCACCTTTCCTTTTTCTGCCGGCCTAGTATTATCCTACTGTAAACAGGGTGCCAGAATATCAGCTGGTACATATCAGTGTAGCTTGATTGAGTTCATTTGCACCAGCTGAGCAGCTGAGGTTAAAAAAGGATTTAGAAACAATTTCTGATGAATCATTAAATCAGAATGAAATGGTTGCATTATGTTGCTATAACAACATAACCAGCACAATATAAACATTAATGTTTTTAATTTATCCTTAAGGTGCTAAATCAAACATCCAGACTTGAAATTCAGCTACTGGAAAATTCACTGTCAACGTACAAACTAGAAAAACAGCTGCTACAACAGACACACGAAATCCTGAAAATTCATGAGAAAAACAGGTAAGAATGAGTAGTTGGTCTCTTACTCTCTTTCTCTGTTCATAACAAAGTGGTCTGTGCATACTTTGTCCTAAGCAACTGATGAAATGGAAGAAGCAAATATGGTAAATGGAAAGTATAGGTAATGTTTATGAAATGGCTAAAAGAGCTAGGGTGTGAACTTACAATGTGTTAGCTCCTGTATGATAAATGAAAGTTGATTTTTACCACTTTTCATGCGCACTGTAAGTTTACATCTCAGTTTGCTTCGTGACTTAGTCATATGACCACAGTGCCTGCTACTGAAAAGCATAGGGATAACTCATATAAGCACTTTCAAGTAGAAAAATATTAATAATAAATGATGAGATTATCAACTACCTTAAAGTACATAAGAAACAGAAAATCTTCAGTAGTTCATCCTTCTAATTTTAATGGATACAAAGATCTAATATGTAGAAGGATCTCTCTCTCCCTTTGAACTCAATTGTATATAGCATATTTGGAGCCATGATCCATTTAAAGAATAAGTGAATAATAAACATTTGGGTTTTATATTGAAATTGAAGAAAAAACTGTTTAGCAACACATAACTTTTTAAGCAGTGAAGTGAGAGTCAAGAATAAGTTCCAGTGTTGTCCCTTTCTGTGCTACACAGAAGCACCTCTCTGTGCTTCTGTGATACAGGGACTCAGTACCTGAAGTCACTGGATTTAGCAAACCAGTATCTCAGAAAGTGCGTGTGGTAGGTTGACCTTGTCTGGCTGCCAGACACCCACCCAGCTGTTCTCTCACTCCATGTCGTCAACAGGATAGAGGGAGAAAATATGAGGAAAAATCTTCTGGTCAAGATAAAGACAGGGAAATCACTTACCAGTTACTGTCATGGGCAAAACAGCCTTATTTATTGCCAATTAATAACAGCATAGGATAGTGAGAAATAAAAACAAAACCAAAAAGACCTTTCTCTCCTACCTCCCCTTCTTCCCAGGCTCAACTTCACTCCTCACTGGAGCAGAGCAGGAGGATGAGGAATAGGGGTTGTGGTCATTTCACTACACTTAGTCTCTCCTTCCTCGTGCTCTGTCCCTTCTCCAGTGCGGTTCTTTCCCATGGGCTACAGTCCTTCAGGATAAGATTCCTCCAATGTGGGCGCTCCACAGGCTGCAGTTTCCTTCTGGACATCTCCAGCATGGGGTCCTCCACAGGAAATACCTGCTCCACCATGGTCTTTCTTAGGGGCTACAGGGGAATCTCTGCTCCAGCACCTCCTCCCCTCCTTCTTCTCTGACCTTGTGTCTGCAGCATTGTTTCACTCACTGTCTTCCCTCACTTCTCACACTGTCATGGGGTGTTTTTACCCTTTCTCAAGTATGTTTTCCCCAAGGCGCAACCACCTTGGCTGATGGGCTCAGCTGTGCCCTGTGGTGGGTTCGTTGGAGCAGGCTGGAACCAGCGGGAAGCAGCTGTGTCCAGCACAGGGCAGCCCCGGCCTCTCCTCACAGAGGCCATCCCTGCAGCCGCCAAGCTGCCCAGACCTGGAACACCTGCACTCAATACAGTGGGTAAAGCAATTTTCCTTCTTGGCTGCCCTTCTAGAGACCTAAGGCTCAGATTCCTGCCTCTGTAACGGCCAGGTTTAGGCAGGGAGGACAGAGAGTGCTTTCACTCCCCAGCTTCACTCTCAGCTCCCTTCTAGAAAGAACAACTGTGAGGTAAGTCTAACTAGGACAAAGATTTCTATTTCCTGTATCTACATTTGACATTGAAATAAGGCAAACAGCTTTAAAAGTGAGGTAGTTACTGAAGCATCCTGTACAAGCTTTAGTGGACTGTTTAAACTGAGATCAGACAGTTTGCCAAAAAAGGCAGCGTGACTCCACTGCTGCTGGACAGGAATCGGCAACTGAGGCAGAAAGACCTGGCCCAGGGTTATATGTAAGGAAGACTAATACCACAGTAGGCAAGGAGGTACTGGGAAAAGAAGGCAAAGAACCAGGTAATGATGAAAAATAGAAGATGTTGTTACAAGGAGAGAGTCCCTTGGGATAGTCAAGAGAGTCCCTTGGGAGACAGTCCTTGAAGGACAAAGGGGTCCAGGAAGGCTGGATGTCCTTCAAGAAGGAAGTCTTAAAGGCGCAGGAGCGGGCTGTCCCCATGTGCCCTAAGAAGAACGGGTGGGGAAGACGACTGGCCTGGCTAAATGGGGAGCTCTGGCTGGGACTCAGGAAAAAGAGGAGAGTTTATCACTTGTGGAAGAGTGCAGGGATCTCGTTGGGTCATGCAGAGAGGAAATTAGAAAGGCAAAAGCCCAGCTAGAACTTAATCTTGCCATTGTCGTAAGAGACAACAAAAAATGTTTTTACAAGTATATTAATGACAAAAGGAGAGCCAAGGAGAATCTCCATCCTTTATTGGATGTGGGGGTGAACATTGCCACCAAGGACGAGGATAAGGCTGAGGTACTTAATGCCTTCTTTGCCTCAGTCTTTAATAGTCACACCAGTTATCCTCAGGGCACTCAGCCCCTTGAGCTGGAAGACAGGGACAGCGAGCAGGATGAACCCCCCGTAATCCAAGAGGAAGCAGTTAACGACCTGCTATGCCACCTCAATGCTCACAAGTCTATGGGGCTGGATGGG